ATGTCGATTGCTATACAGGCTAGACCTACCTGGTATGACTATGGTGTGATTGTATCCATATTACAGTCTGTACGTCATTAGTAGACATGTCGATTACTATACAGGCTAGACCTACCTGGTATGACTATGGTGTGGTTGCAACCATATTACAGTCTGTATGTCATTAGTAGACATGTCGATTGCTATACTAAACGCTAGACCTACCTGGTATGACTATGGTGTGATTGCATCCATATTGTAGTCTGACAATCGGTGACATGGCGGCAGTTGGTGATGTATTAATGAGTCCAGTGTCGTTTCTTTTCGTCAGATTAACGTACATTCTCACTTCCCACCGGCCACCTCCATTGACCAGGGAGATCCAGGCATTACCACTAAAACTATAAAAGTGTAACTGTTAGCAATTTCTCTTTTTGATTGTTTGACTCTCAAACATGGTCTTGAGAAATTGCTCGTTCAAGGCACGCGCTTAAATCGACACGATTTAATTTAATTCTTCCTCTGACCTATGTTATTCTTCAAACTAATAAGCGTATTTCTGTCCTCTGATTTAAACAAGGAACCCAGTCATTCAACACGCACGTTATATTTTGAATACTTGATGAAGAATTGTCCCCGTTGTTCCCATTGTCCCCGTTGTCCCCAATGTCCCAAACGTCCCTTACTTACCTGGCCTGGTAAAGTGGAGGATGAATATCAGGGAATCTATATGTGTAGTTCCTTCCACCGGCTGACCAATCCTCTTGTACGCTGAAATCTGTACATTTGAAATCCATGCTGCCAACGTACCCACTGCAGCCTGAGCGACACTGAAGTCTTGATCCGCTAACACCGATGAGACGGCCGGAATTGATCGTGGATTGATCACAGTATGTGTCGTGGTCCCACGATCTCCGCCAGGCAATTCGTAATGAAATTATAACCTACACCGTTTAACCAGAGAGAGAGAGAGAGAGAGAGAGAGAGAGAGAGAAACGTGAATATATGTATATATGTTATTTCTCTCATGTGTTTATGAGAGATTTACACATGTTATGCACACGTTATGTATTAGTGAATTCCAAAGGTTCCCATCCCCCCCCCCCCCCCCCCCCCCCCCCCCCCCCCCCCCCCACACCTCCCCCCCCCCCCCCCCCCCGGGTTCAGGCTCCACTCAGTTGTCAAATGCCCGCCCCTCCAGTCCGATGAATCTCTAATTCTACCTAAAAAGTACAAAACTGAGCCTGTATACATCCAACAAGTTTCGTTTCGTTGTCGTTTGATCGGCTTCATCGCTACGCGCCTAGACCGAAAAGGATCATGGGGATAATTAATTCACAGTTACTAGCTGCCGCATATGTTATCTAACACGTCTTTAGCTCGCTTTTTTCGATCCCATTAAATTTGCTAAAACCATGCATCGAGCATACGGCTAAGATTTAAACTGGCGAGCAGTTTGGATGACGCAAGTTCTGGGTAATTTACCCGTTATCCTTTTCGGTCTAGGCGTGTAAACGACAACGTTCAGTCAAAGGACTGTATATTCAGCGTCAAATTCCCCACTCTACGGAACTTGACTATGGTCAAATGCCCGGGGTATGCCCGGGGGGTGGGGGGTATGGGAACCTTTGGAATTGACTCATACATTATGCACTAGTGATATTGAAACCAATTTGCACCTCACAGACGAAAAGTGGCAAAACATGGATAATTGTACTAGATTTCAGCCGCTGCATCCCTTTAGAGACATTATGGCAGGGATGAACGGATCCAAAAAAGGTTTGTGTTCAATTTAAAACCTGCTGAAACATGCGGCTTAATTTATTCATCCCCTACCCCAGAGTTATTTGCCAAGTCAAAGTGGCCGAAACAGCTCACGAACACCGATGAAAACCGGAATGAAATCTGTGAAAGGAAAAGCCCATGATGTTGATTAAGATAGGTACTTTGACCCCAAAGTCATTAATCTGATCGCAATTGCCTATCAAGTGAATAAAAACGGCTGTTACCAGTCTCTTCGAAGAAGGAACGATACCGAGACTTTTGTATGTTGTCAATTTCTTGGAAATGAAGTTAATAATTAACATTCTTATCTGTATGACTGCGCCGAGTCAATTTCCGAATTGTACGTATAAGTTTAATTTACCAAAGGCATTAAGTTTCAATTTTAAACTGAATTTAGAACGACTGCCTGTATCTAATCAGCTTCAGTAAGAATAAGGAAAAAACCTTTTTGAAATATCGTAGTCTTCACAATATACCGGCCGAATTTTGTCAGAAACTTGGAATGGTATATATTTGCAATAATATCGAGGCTATTTTCAAGGAGTTACGAGAAATAATGATGAATACTGACCCGGCCACTGGCAATATTGTTTTTAGATTATAGCATTGATGAATGAAATCACTTCAAATTGATGTTTTCTTACCCTCTTGTCTGCTGTGTTGCTTGCATTTTCGGGTTTCCAACTAAGTGTTGCTCCCCTAAAGTGAGAACACCTCGCAAGATTCACGCATACAATACTGAAGACCAAAGCATTTGCCAGGAAGGCACTCATTCTGCCTTTGAGTTTGAATCTCATATATAAAAGGAGTTTGTGTTCCCGAAGCAGAAGAGCTCGAAGTGATAAACCACAGATGCAGCTTTCACTTTGAAAACAGGCCACAACAAATAGCGTAGTTGACCAATATACACGGAAAGCGGAAAAATATTAGGTTTCGACTGAGTGAAAATGAAGAATTGGGCCATTCCTAGTTTTCACTCAGTCGAAACTCAGGGGCGGTGGAAAGGGAAGGGGGGGGGGGGGCATGTGCCCCCCCCCTCCCTCAAATTTCAGGCCCCCCCCCCAATAAATATTGGTTCTTAGTCATTGTTCTACGGCGCATGCGTCTGCAATCAAACAAAACATTGTCATTATCACATAGCGTTAAATATAATCTTCAGTGCCCCCTCCCCCAAAGATTTTTGCACTGCCCCCCCAAAGACTTTTAGCTTCCGCCGCCCCTGGAAACCTGTTTTTCCGCTTGCCGTGCATATTAGTCAACTACGTTATCTGTTGTGGCCTGTTTTCAAAGCGAAAGCTGCATCTGTAATTTATCAATAGGTGTGCGTACTGTTTACATATTTTCCAAAAGTCAACTCATGGGCCATAAACGATTGGACTTAAGAAATATAAAGAAGTCATAACTGTTGACAATATTTATCAGTTTGAGAGCAGTTTTGGCTTCACCACAAGCATCCTTGTCTTATTTTGATATTTTTTGTTAGAGTGACCAAATCCGTGAAACACTACACCTTTTGCTGTTCATTAAGAGAAAATGTACATTCATTTGTGCCAATAGTTGTATCAATAACGTGTAATGTACTTTCATCAACACCAC